CCCAAAATATTGTGTATCATTAAAAGATAAAAACTTTAATGAAATTTTAGAACTTTTAGAACTACATTTCAAGATGATATTATGCAACCAGGAGATCAAATTATGACTATAGAATATAGAGCTTTATATACCAATTCTAATTATGGAAATATTTATTCCAATAAACCATATATTGAAGTTCATAAAGAATGTAAAGATATTAGTAAAATAATAGAGCCAAATAAACAAATAAGTTTGATTCCAGAAGAATATGAATTTAGTATAACAAAAAATAAACCTGAAATAACAGAATTAAATGAAGGAGAATGTTCTAATAATATAACATTTAAAGATGGAAAATTAATTAAGAGATCAAAAAGTTTTAAATTACCTAGTAAAAACCAATTAGAAGAAATCAATAAAATAAAAGAAGTAAAACTATATAGAAATGTAGAAAATATGAAAATAGAAGGGAAATATTATAATGGAAGAGCACATATAAATGGACCTAATATATTAATAGATACAGGAGTTAGTGAATGTCATATAGCTTTAATCAGAAATAAAGGATTAATAACTCATATAACTGAACCATATAAGTATGTAAATTTTGATGGACAAGTACACATTACAGATTTAGAAGTAAAGGTACCAATAAAAATAGGAGGAATAGATCTTTTAGTACCATGTTACATAGATAAGAGTATGGATATAAACCTCTATATACTTTTAGGAATGAATTTTTTTGAATAGATTAGAAGATTATAGTATAAAAAAGAGAAGGATTATATATTGTTCATAATGGACAAACTACACTTTGTAAAAAATATTAGATGAATAATCAGATAAGTTTTTCATTAGCTGTATATATACAAATTACTATTGTAGAAACAAATATAACAATCTGTGATTTAATAGATACAGGAAGTGATATAACAATATTTAAATGAATTTTAATAAAATCATGAAATAATAATAGTAACATAAAAATAACTTGAGTTACAGGAGAAAGTACTCAGATAATTAATAGTGCTGATAAAGTAAATATAATTCTTGGAAGTAAACAAGTTACAACAAATAAAGTATATAAATATGATAAATTAAAATGTGATATATTACTAGGAAATGACTTCATACAACAATTTCAATACTATAAACAAAATAATTATATGATAATGCTGTAAACACCTTGTGGACACTTATTAAAAATTCCTAGAGAATTTAAACCTTATAGAGTTCAGCCAGCTCAGCGTGGTGATAAATGGGAGAAAAAATCAATCACACATAATGAAATAAAAAATAAAAGAATAATATATAAAAAAGTTCTAAAAACGGGAATAGAAATAAATATAGGAAAAATCATTGAACAGCTAGAAAAGGTTTATGGAGAAAATTCATTATTATTTTGGAAATCACACCACCCAAAAGTCAAAATAGAATTAACAGATAATGTTATAATAAGAGTTAGACCAATAATGTATACTATAGAAGATACACAAGAATTTAGAAATCAGATAAAAGAATTATTAGAACAAAAACTTATTAGACCTAGAAATGGACCTCATAGTATTCCAGCCTTTATGGTTATGAAACATTCTAAACAAATTAGAGAAAAAGTTAGGATGATCATAAATTATAAAGAATTAAATAAATATACTAAATTTGATGGTTACTTTTTACCAAATAAAGAAATATTAATAAATCTTGCAAGAGGAAAACAATACTATTCTAAATTTGATTGTAAATCAGGATTTGGACAAGTAAAAATGGAAGAAAATAGTATACAATATACTGCATTTAGCACACCTCAAGAAAAATATGAATGGTTAGTTGTGCCATTTGGTTTGAAAAATGCACAACAAATATATCAAAGGAAAATGGATAATATATTTAAAGAGTTTAATGAATTTCTAATTGTTTATATAGATGATATATTAATACGTTCTAATAGTAAAAAAGAGTATAGAAATCATTTAATCCAATTTATTAATAAATGTAAAAAAGAAGGTATTGTACTATCGAAAAAGAAATCTATAATAGAAAAACAAGAGATATATTTTCTTGGATTATCAATAAAAAAGGGATAAAATTACAGACTCATATATTTAAAAAGATAGAAAATTTTCTAGATAAATTAAAATCCAAAGAACAAATACAAAATTTTTTAGGATGTTTAAATTATGTTGAAGGATTTATTGAAAATTTTCTAAAAAAAGACATAAAATTCAAATTTTACTTAGAAAAACAAATATTAAAGGATGGAATGAAGAACATACAGAAATAGTTAAATCATTAAAAGAAGAATGCAAAAATTTATCAAAATTAAGATTATCAGATGAAAAAGATAATTTGATTGTTAATACTGATACCTCAGATAAATATTGGACAGCAATTTTAAAAACAGATCTAAACGAGATTTGTAGATATTCAAGTGGACCCTTTAACCAAGCAGAAATAAATTATACCACTCATGAAAATGAATTATTAGCAATTATTAGAGGAATAAAGAAGTTTTCATTATTCCTATTATCTAAGAAATTCATTGTTGAAACTGATAATTGTCAAGTTGCAGGATTAGTCAGGAATAAACTCCCACCAGAACCCCAATACAGAAGGCTCCATAGATGGTAAGGTTACTTAGCATTTTACAATTTTGATATAGTCCATATTGAAGGAGTTAATAATTTTCTTGCAGATTTTCTCAGCAGAAACATAGAATTTGCTGATGGATAAAGCCAAGGCCATGGAGTTATATCAATTCATTCTACATATACAAGAAAGAACAAATTTTCTTAAAGAAGAATCTGAAGATATAAGTTTTGGAGCAACCCAGATCTCAGAAATGTTCAATTCAAATATGAAAATATTGTTGAACATTACCACTGAACATCATAAATATGCCATTGAACTCAAAAATCAAGTTGATGCTATTACAGCACAACTAAAAGATATATTGTTTGAAACAGATATACCAAAGAGCTCAAAAATGAGTTTTCCAAATCAATACCAAACATGGACAGCTGGAAGCAACAGTGGACCCAGAAGTGTCAACATACCAACTGAAAATAAAGGAGATTTCATTTCTGTATCATCAACCAAGAAAATTATGATGCATAGAGTTAAAAGAGATACCAAAACAATCAGTTTCATAGATCAAGAAGATAAGATCCCTTTAGATCCAAATGAAGAAAAATATGCTAAAATAGTCAAAATCGTTTATGAAATGAAAATAAGCGACTCATATTTCATTTCTCCAAGAAATAATGTTTATCCCAGAATAACAGCCATGGAAGGAGGAGACCCTTCATTCATAAAATTATGACAGACTATGGATTCATGGATCTGATATACCCAGGAATAGATTTTATTGAAATTTCAAAGTTTGATGATATATTGATTAAAGAAGTATCCAGATTTGCCAGAGGAAGGAAGATATTTTTGAAATACTATTCTATAAGTCCAGAATATGATGGAGTTGTTTATTATCCAGTTGAACACATAATCTCAATTGGATATGTTGCTGCTATTTTCCAAATTAATGTCACAGAATTTAATAGAAAAATTCCAACAGTAACAAAGTCATGGATCAGACATAGGAGAGTACTTCAGATAAAAGCCATATACAACATCGCCAAAAACTTGTTTGATAAAAAATTCTTTTGCTTGTGCTAATACGAAAATTGGATGCTAGTATCCAATGGAGGATATGGAAAATCAGAAATTTTAAAAGATTATATTACAAGATTTGATATATATTAATTTCCAAGATGTCCTACCACTATAAAAGAATCTTGCCAACTAAGGGAATGCCCCAGCTGCATGTGAAGAAATAAAAGAAGAGGACAAAGCACCTTTTGACAAAGGTGTATGAAGGGCAATAATACTACATGTGAAGTCATTGAAGATAAGAAGCAATAATAGAAGAAGATGCTCTTTGGATAGAAAAATTGAACCAACATGTGAAGATGTAGGCCCAAGGAAGAAAATAGAGAGGCAAGTGTGCCTTTGCTGATGTATTCAATGATGTAATAGAATCTCAAAAATTTGTATAAATAGAGATGTCTTGCCATAGATAGAGGCATCTCATCTTATCTTGAAATCTCTTGTTGTAAGCAATAGCCACTTTTATAATCGTCTCGAGTTAGAAACCATTCTCTTTCCTTAAACTTTCTTTAAAACCAATTTGTTTGGAAACCCCTTGTATACAATAGAAATTTTGTATAAATCATTATGGAAATAAAATCCCAATCTTTTGATATCAGAAAAATATGAGTTTTTAAACATCCTATCCCGTAGATTCTTGACAGATTGAAGAAGATAATCTCTTTCTTACTTTAACAAAGAGAGAATTTTCTTTACTTAAGATCCTTATTCTTAATTCTAAGAAAAGATACAGTGAGGGCAAGAAATTGAAATAGCAGAATTCCCATTAAGGTAAAAGGCCGTTTGAGGGAACAATTTGCAGATTCAGAGCCTGAAGGTCACTCAGTTCTAATAATACAGATTTAAGATCATAAGTAAGGTAAAATTATTGTCTTTGTTAAATTTAGAAAGAATTCTTCTAATATCTTGAAAAAATGGTAGGGATTATTACTTTTCATGTTTACAAAAAACTTATCTATCATGTTATTATTATTCATAAAGCTTGTAAGGAATTATCTAAATGATGCCAGACTATACAATTAAAGGATTAGATAATCTGTTAGAAAGACTATTAGAAAAAATAAAAAATATCTTTTTCTCAACTAGAGATTATGGATATATCATCTAAGGAATATGATAATCTTAAAGAATTATATGACAATTATATTACAGATTATGCTAATTTATTAGATCAAAGGATGGAACTATATATTAAAATTCGAAATGAGAGAAATAGAATAATTTTGGAACTATTCCAATAAATTAGGATATTTTGTGCAAAATATGGCAAGCCATTTCATTAAGAGTGTTATAGATATTTTGGCAAGAATGAATAGTGATAAGCCATTTAGAAAAATCCCCTAATCTTACTCAAGGTCTTGTTTGGCTGTGGCGTTGTACTTTTTGGAATTTATATTTTTGTGTATCAAAAATTGATGTAGAGTCAAATGTTCCATTAGTGAAACAGGCATTTTCTTTATAATTAATCAAAGTTGAACGCACGTTATTCTAAAATACTTTATAAGTGATGTAAAAGTAATATTGTGTATCATTTTATGGAGGATTTGATGAGTTTCGGGCTAATTAAAGAAAATAAAATTTAGCATTGAATTTTAAGAGAGGAAAATTGTACTCAAATTGAACTCTTAAAACTTAATTTCTACAATTTAAAATTTTTTTAATGATGAAATACTATAAATGAGCAATATTTTTATATTACATTTAGAGAACATCTTACAATATGACATATCCAAAATTTGGCTTCCGTCGGTGACATATGAGGCGTTAAAATATTTCTCAAAATCACGCTAACACTAACCAAACAAGCTGTTTTCTTTTTCTATCTCGTAGGATAAGTGTCAAAATAAATTTGTTTGCATAGCTATCGACTTCGAAACTTTGTCAAATTTTAATGTAAAGTAAGAAATTCCTTATCATATGATATAACTAAAAATTAGCTTCCGTTAGCATCATATGAGGTATTAAAATATTTTTCAAAACCAACAGAGACTCGGTTGAAAGGTCAATCGGTGTAGTTCACTTAAAATGACATATAAAATTCCACAGACATCAAAACCATATGATTTCAAATTTATTCAGTAGCTAATCCATGAGCCTATCAAATCCAATTGGTTTCATCCAGAAGTTCCAAGTAATGGTCGAGTTATGAATTTTTGAAGTTAAGGTAGAAGTTGGAAAATGCAACATTAGCCAGTGCAGTTTACCTTAAGTGACATATAAAATTCTACCGACATCGGATTGACACGATTCTAAATTTATTCACTAGCTAACCTATGTGGTATCCAGCGCCATTGCTTTTGTCTAAAAATTTCAAGTAACGAGTGAGTTATGAATTTTTAAAATCAGACAGAAACTGATTTTGGCTTTTTTTTAATTTTTTTTTTTTAAAAATTTTGAATTTTTATTTCAAATATCCTTTTTTTTTTTTTTTTTTTTTTTTTTTTTTTATCTTTTTGTAAACGGCGTTTTGTAAATTAACTTCTATAACACATATCTACTTTTAAACATAATTTATTCATGAAAAAATATTCTTAGAATAGTTTCACATATGACGTCCATTGAAATCCATATAAAACAATAATAGCATTATCATAACACGTAGAGTCGGAGAATGATCATTCAAACTCTTGTAGCACCGAAGTAACATATCCGGAGGTACCATTTTATTTAAACTTTTATCGAAAAATTATAATTTGAAAACGAAATAAACATTTACACCTCCACATACCTTGAATTTTTTTGGATATAATGTAGAAAGTTTTTCTTCTTCTCACCCTTGTTATTTTCTTAAACTTAACTTGACATGAAATATAATTTTTTTAGAGAAAATAAGAATAAATTCGGATTTGAGGAGGGGTATAGTGAAAAATTGGGATTCCTCTTCTTCTAACCTTCCTTTTTAATGCAAAACTAAATTGAGGAGTTGTATTATCATTAAATTTGTTAAATTTGGTCTTTCACTAATAATTTGAAGAGTTTCTAAGTCATAAAAAAAATAATTCATATAAAAATATCTACATGATGATTCAAACATAGGTTGCCTATATGAAATACCATGTAGATGACCATTGAGGCAAACCTGTTATTCATTAAATCTTTGTAATCAAATTTACTCAAACTTAATCTCTTAAATTGTTGGGCTTTTAATTAACTTATGATTTGGGCTTTCATAATCATAAATGGGTTGAGCTTCCATAACTCGTTTCTTAAATGGGATGGACTCGTAGTGCTAGATCATCCCAAAATAATAGTCTAATTTCATTTTATTTCTCATATTTCTACATCCCTTACATCTTAAACAAAGTTTCGTCCTCTAAATTTATCTTATTGATTGATAAAGAGTGATGAATATTTGTCTTTAACTTCTTCTTCTCTTTTCCAAGTAGCTTCTTTTACCTATGATTATTCCATTAAACTTTGACCAATTAAATCTCCTTATTTAGTAATTTATGTACCTTTCGATCCAATATCTTAATCAATAATTCCTTATAAGATAAGTCTTTTTGTACTTTCAAGGATTGATAATTGACCATGTGATCAGGATCATACCTATATTTTCTGATCATTGATATAAGAAACACATAGTGAACGACTGATAGTTCAAGCGGCAAAGTTAGTCGATAAGTCACATTCACCACCCTATCAAGTATTTCAAAAGGTTTGATATAACGAGGTTGTAGTTTGCCTTTCTTGTCGAACCTAAGTACATCCTTTATTAGTGCCACCTTTAGAAAAACTCTCTCTCCAACTTCAAATTCCAAGTCTTTCCTCATGGTATCTGCATAGCTCTTTTGTCTAATTTTCACGGCCTTTATCCTGGTACGGATCTTATCAATGACTTCAACTGTCCTTTCAATGATCTTTGGTCCCAAAACTCTCTTTTCTCCAACTTCATCATAATGAACAAGTGATCTGCATCTTCTACCATAGAGAGCTTCACATGGTACCATTCCAATAATTGCTTGAAAACTGTTTATTATATGCAAATTCCATAAAGGCAGATACAATTCCCAACTATCTCTTAGAACCAGAACACAAGCCCTTAGCATATCTTCCAAAGTTTGAATGGTCCTTTCAGATTGACCATCGGATTGAGGGTGATACACCGTATTGAAATTCAATTTCATTCCCATAGCTTCTTGTAAGCTTTTCCAAAACTTTGACGTATATTTCGGATCTCTATTATACACAATGCACACGGGGACACCATGCAATTTCATTAGAATGAGTAGCTAAATTCATAGATTGGGCAAAAAATGTAATCTATGTGTGACCTTATAGTTTAATTTTGAAGATTACAATTCTCAATTTTATATGTATTGATTTTATTTATGCTACTTAGTGCTTGAATTACTTGAGCAAAAATTCAATGATCGTGTGAATTTACTATGGTTCGAGAGGTGAGTTATCTGTTTGTAACACATAGTAACATTTAGGAAACAATAGAAAAGTGTATAGATACATTTTCTAGATAAAGCGGTCATTACATGGGTTCTCATAGAGTTAAGGAATTTAGCTAAGGTGTATCCGAATTTATATAGAGCTATAGAATTGGCTTAGCTAAAAAGAATTAGTTTGAATTTGAGAGAGGTAAATTGAACATTTTGGAAGAATTCGACCGAACATTATAGTAGTAATGAATCTTGATTAGTGAATTAAAGGGGATCCATAGATGAATCGTAAGTCCTAACATTCATATTCATACTTTAAAATTAAATTTGACAAATTGTGTGCATTTAGATAAAGTTAGTATAATTAGAATAATTTAGATAATCTATCATTCAAATTTTATTCTTTGTTTTTTGTCATTTTGGAGTTAGAAATAATAAATTAAGTTTTAGATTATAGTTCTTGTGGGAATGATCATTCGAACTCATAGCTTCACTATATTACTTGTTATGATCCATACACTTGCGGACTAGGAAATCGACCAGTTTTGGCACCATTGTCGAGGACTATTTTTATTTAATATTGATTTAAGTAATTCGTTTCATTTGTTTGATTTTTTTTTCTTTTTTTTTTTCAAGCTGAACAATTTTTTTTTTCATTTACAAGAACAAAAGAAAGCAAAAGACGAGCAAAAATATACAAGGATTGATCCTAACTTTGATGAAGGTGATATGCTCCTTGGAAATTTTTCTTCATATGACAATTTAAAAATTTGGGATACAATCTACCTATTGTACTTGATAAGGATTGCTTGCTAGAATGATTATTTATTAAATCTAATGAAATTGAGGAAAGATTAATGAGAAGGACTGATTTACTAACCTGTCCTAGCAGTAACTTGGTCAATACACACTTAGCAGACCAGATGTCAATGGCAGTAGTGTACTGGATTGTACCAAATATCAGTTTTGGCGCCCGATAAAATTTGGAACATATATATAAAATGCTTGGCTCTCCTTTAACCTATAAATTAAGCGAATAAGAAGTCATGTGATGGAACTAGGCTATTAAATGTGGGAAATAATATTGTTGATGAAAGAAATCAGATCAACAAATCCTATTCACTTAGCTATAATTGTCACTTCCTATACTCACCAATTTTGATACTCAAATGGGAGTGAGAAGAGAAATAACTATTTGATTGGGAAATATTTGGATTATATGCCTATCTTCTTCAAATAAATGCGTATTTATAGATTTCTCTCCAAGCTTTGCGGTAGATAAGTCTTTTTAAGAGAATGATACAATCGGTTCCTTATTAGCTATCTTCTAACATATTCAGTTGAGAATCACGCAATATTCATTTACCTGCATGCCCCTTTATTGACAACTTGTAGCTAACCGAGATATAGAAGTTGATTCATAACTTTAGGCAAACTTTCTACTTTTTCGTTTTCCTCGCGTGTCGCATTTCACTTTGTAGATAACTAGCCAGGTTCGTAGACTTCATTTTATGGTCTAAAAGTAGTCCCCCAAGTCTGATTTTGTTATTTGTAGTGAATAAGAACTTATGTTATGATTAGAAACATTGTTGAGGGTTTTTCATCTAGCCCTACTCATTCCAACTTGTCTGATACGACCTAGGAAATGTTGGCAACGTCATTGCTTTTTACATGCAAATGGGCCCTACTTACATTTTTCTTGGTTAGTGGCCCATGAAACTTTTGGGCGCCTGCGTGTTGCCATAACTTGGCCCATTCGTCTCGGGATTGAATTAGTCGTCCGCTCATTTTCAATAGTTATATTTATTACAATCACATTTTAACGTCTTATATCTTTCGTCAAAATCTATAAGTATGTCGTCACTCTAGTTGACATTCTTTACTTTGTCGCATCATTTCTCTCACGATTTTTTTCTTAGTACTTACTATTTAATTGTTCATGTTCAACATTTTCCATGCAGTGTCTTCCTAAATTGACTCTTCGAGTGGATCCGATGATTATGATTCTGGGAATTCTAATTCTGAAGGTGATACTTTCGGTACCTCTTCTTCTTCTTCTATAGAAGTTTTATATATTGATGTGCTCTCTTATAAAGCTATAACCCTTCTGGTGCATGCATTAACCTAGAACTTTTTAGTTAAGCAGTAAGTTTTCGAACTGGGGTAGCGATACATAAGGTAGGTGAAACCTCTAATATGCTAGTTGATCTTAATGAAAATAATTAGAATGTCTTTAAGGCTTTAGCAATTTTTAGCAATTTTATGAACAAAACCTGGGCAAAATAGGATCCATTTCCATGTTCCTAATGATATATAACTATTGTGTACTAGACAATTTCAAATGATAGATTGCCCATTCCCAAGTTGTATAGATATTATAGATATTTATTGGATATGGTGTTCAGAGTCTCATTTCTCTACTTTTTACAGAGACTCTTTCTTTCTTAGACATGACTCCTTCCCAACTTGCTCCAAATGGGTGGGCCCAATTATTCGAGTCTTTTTTGTTGTGAGGATTCACAAGCCTACTAGGGGAGATTTCACCGGATACATTTCATACAATGTACCAACTCACGCCCTTAGGACATATTGTGAACCACCAAGGGAGGAATTATTTCCTTTTTTCCAATTTTTGCAAGGTTTGCCTAGAATTCGTAATCTCTCCTTTTTAGTGCATTTTTTGAAAAAGAGTTTTTTCTTTATTTGAGGTAACTAGGAGTTTCAACCTAATGATCGCCATCCTTTCGTTGTTATGCCTCAAACTTACGGTAAGTGCTATGAATATTACTTAATTGCTTGTATTTTCATTTAGACTTTTATAATCTAACCGTGGTGATTTGTCATAGGAGAACCACCTTTTTGGTTTGCAATTGTGCTCTCAACGAACTTTGCAACCTTATGAGGTTCGGGAAGCTAAAGGATAAAGACTGTTTCATCCCTTTAATTCCAACTTCTACAACCTCGATGTTCAAACCACCATGGGTGAGTTGACTTGTTAATTTCCTCGTCTCTAGATTTAAGCATTTAATTAGCTACTTCTATCATTTTTGTTTTAATGTTTTTTTAGTGTGGATTGACTTCGACACGAACCTTTCTAAATGTCAGAAGATATCTTCACCTGTGGATTCAGGCTCTAGTAAACCTGGTGGCTAGCTACATTCCTGTTGGGTATTCGACCACCCAGCCTATCCTTTGCGAGGATTAGAGAGACTACCATCCTCCTTCATTGATGTTTTAGTTTTAGGGGTAGAAATTGCATCCTTTGCCTTGCCTTGAACATATAATATTGTATCACATAACAAAACAGATTACTGAAACAACCGAATCACGATTTTCATCTATAATTACTTTTATGTGTAGCTAATTACATCTTCTATCATGATAATTCATACCTAAGGACAATATAGGCTCACCCTCTAAAATTTTTTACCATAAAGGAATAGACTTCAATCCGATTTTCCTTGGAAAAGTAACTCTCACATTAGCGTCATTTTTATTGATATGATACTTGTCGCCTTTAATTATAATTTTGTTGGCGGAAAGAATCTCACCTTTAAAAGTGACAACATTGATAGGATTAATCTTGCCAGTAGTTTGAGCTTCATAGAGGTGAAAAGAAGTTTTCCTTTCAAATTTTCATTTGGAGAGTTGCTGCAACCATGTTCTAGGATTAGCTTTGGTTTCACAGTTTTCTAATTTATGCTTCTCCTAGTAATTGCGAAACTATCTTTATCGACAGATAGGTTTCTTAACATATCTTTCACAAATTGGAATTTTACTTTCCTACTAGATGTTTTTCAAGCATGTTTCCTTCAATAGTCAGGGTGGTTTTGATTAGTGAAGCCCTGAGGGCTACTTTCCTTAAAGCTCTAAAATAGGATTCATGCGTGGCTACTCAATCTCCCTTGACCGTTGCTATCCCTTTCGGAGTTTCAAATTTTAATCATAAGTGCTATCAATAACACTTGTTCTATCATGTTTAGATTTATAGGTGGCTACTCGATCTCCTTTGACCATTACTTACCACCATCACTCAAATAAATCCTTACTATGACCGATACAAACATCATGAAGCAGCTTTTTGTGAAGAATGCCGTTTCAAATTAATTATGGCAAGCCCATATACCACATTTAAATTAATTATGGCGAGCCCATATGTTTCATCAAATTTTAGTTATGGCGAACCTATGTGATTCACCGAATTTTAATTATGATAAGCCTATATTCTACATTCAAATTAGTTATAGCAAACCTATATGCTTCATCGAATTTTAATTATGACGAGCCTATATGCTACATTCAAATTAATTATGACGATCAATTTCATTGGACTTCAATTATGATGAGCCCATATGTTTCATCAGATTTTAATTATGACGAGTCCGTGTGCTATACTTAAAGTATTTATGGCAAGCCCATATGCCTCATCAAATTTTAATTATGGCAAGCCCATATGCTTCATTCAAATTAATATGGTAAGCACATATGTGATGTTTAGATTAATCATGGCTAGTCCATGTGTTATGTTCAATCATGACGAGCTCATACAAGTTTTAGAATCATTACACCAAAACTTATTTCATTAAAGAAAACTTGTTTCATTAAAGAAAACGAATTCATCATAAGGGAAAGCTATTACAATCTTGAACAATGAAATC